TGTTATAAACCCATTTAGTAGATGTCCATTATAGGTCCATATTCTATAGTGTTCTAGACTTGTTCTCCAATCTACTTCCTCTCCAAGTATTGTGTTCCTCTCCAAGCTATTGTATCATATATACTCCTATTATTGATGGAATAATACAACACAATTCTTTTTTTCTTTCTCTTATTCATAACAGTTTAATGTATTAATAAAGAGTATAACAAGACTTTAATATATATTTTTTAATATGTGTGGAAAATAGTAGAAAGACACTTTTTCTAGAAGAGAAGGAGTGAATTTAAAATTCTAACTGAAAAAAATATGTTTTTTTTTCTAATGATCATCATTAATAAGAAGGAAAAAACATTGATTACAATATTAAGTATAGTATTTTGTAACATAAGAAGAATATATAAATATGAATGCATCGTCTAACCTCATTTACTTTGCAAATAGTTTCTTTGGTGGTTCAGGTTTCTTCACTTGTTGATTGGCTCGATGAAATGGTTGCGCTTCGTTGGCTTCACTTTGTGGACAGCGGGTGTCTCCTCTGATGCGTTGTCGTTGTGGTGTCTTCGAGTCTGTGGTATTGACTTTGATGTTTTCCGTGATTTGCCTTCGGTTCTTGCAGTGATGTAGATTTTGATAGGGTACTGCTTTCGGTGGAGGCTTTGTTACTTTATCTCAGGGCTACATTTACCGTATCTCTGGTTTTGTTGGTAGAATTAGGACATGTTATCGAGTGTGTCTCCCTCTTGAGACTGTGGTGTTAGATTGTGTGCGGGTTAGTGTGTAGGGTCGTCAGTATTGCGTTATGCCCTAGAGGAACGAGTAAGTCCATTGATGTTTTGGAGCAGTCCTTCATCCTGAAAATTAGCTTTGTACTACCCAATGTTTTAGGTAGGGGAAGCTTGCACCGTTTCATATTTTGGAGTTTGAGGTTTCTTCTTGGGTTAAGCTCATGGAGTTGTTCTTCTAGTCGCTCTCACTTGATGCGAGAGGAGTCGGTGATCGAGGTCGTTGAAGACATTTGCCGTTGACAACCCTTGTTTGGGCCTCTCTCGAACGGCTTCTATCGCATTTGGTTCCGGTCTGCGTGTGAGCATTGACCTTCTAAGCCCAACTAATCTTGGTAAAACACTCTACATCACCATCACTTCGTTTGGCTCCATAACCCTCGGGTTTATGTCGAGCAACGGAGTGAAAATCTTGTAGGCATATGTTTCCATATTTTTTAAATTTTTTTGTCATGGAATACATTGTATAGGGCTACAATCTTGATTATAATCCTGAACTGATTCATTTTCTACGAAATATTTACCATTTAACAAAAAAAACTTTGCAAATAAAATTCTAAGCATAATTAATACTTTTTTTTAAAGAAAATACTAAAATTTAAGAAAAAACGATGAAAACAATTGTCTGGTTTTTTACTCTTCTATTACTTGTTTCATTATGTAAGTTTTTTCCAATAAACAGGTATATATAAATCAAAATTCATATAATTTGATAATATTTTAGTTCAACTGTCTAAATCTTTTTTAATATCTTTTGCAGGTCCATCAAATATCATGACAAAATCTAATTTAGAAAAAAATGTTCTTTCTTTTAAGCGTGCAGAAAGTCCAGTCTACGCAAACCTGAAAGTCGAGTTTTGTCGTGAATGTAAATATCGATGCATGAGACAATGGGCGACGACGATGGTTGGCTGTGAATTTTTTAGGTGTCATTGTTCCTACTTCATTGGTCCTTAATTACAATGCATACTATTAATAAAATAAATAACGGCTTAGTGTTGATCCAAATGTTATATGTTATGTATTCATGCACCAAGCTGAAAAATTATTGGAAGCTGCCGAGTCTAATCAAATGGGACCATTTTGCCAAAATTATAACAAATTGATTTTTTTTCTTTTTCCAAATTGCACACTGAAGTTACTTCTCCAATAGATATCCTCTAAAAACTAGATCACTTTGGCTTCTTGCATAGCCGCCAAAGTTTACAGATGCCATAAACGATAAAAGAAAAAAAAAGGTATCATTGTATTTAAATAATAATACACTAATAAATATTATCGCCATATAAATTAAAAAACGATAAAGAACTAAACTATTAATTATAAAACATAATTTTATTTTTTTTACCAAACTTTCAATATCAATTAGGTTGGTAACTAATTTTATTTATGGATAAATAGTTAAATCCTTCAACTTTTTATGTGATTTACTCAGAAAAAACAAGTTATTGAATATTTTATGTAATAAACTAAATATATGTTTAATTTAATATAACTCTTTAATAATTAATAATTGTTTCTTTATTTTTTAATTACTTAACCATTAGAAGCCTATAGTTTTTATGGTGTAGCTCCATGTTTTGTTGATTCTAATTATCATAAATTCTTAAACATCTAACCTATGTTTCTGTAATTCCCTTATTTGAGTTTAACTAAATGAATCTAACAAAAAAACATGCCCTTATGCTTTTCTAAAAAATTTGATGCCCTAAGCCAATGTTTCTATTTTTTTTTTTATAGTGGCACGGCTCTGGCTTCTTGTACATGTTTTTATTGTTTTATGTTTGGTTCTACGTATTTTTTTTTGTCAACAAGTTTACTTCATTTATTTAACTGATCAAAGTACAAATGAAGGGAATTAAGCATCCTCCAACATTAATACAACATACTTGAAATGCAATAAAAGATAAAGCAGATATATCATCGTAGAAGATGGACAGCGAATCCAAGACATGTCTCGGTTGCGTCAAGAGGGTCTTCGCGGCAAAACCGGAGAGTCTCAGGTTAGTAACTTTCCATTGTGACTTTGAAGATCTCGACATAAAGCTCAGGAATTTGACAATATGCGACCAATCTCAAAGAGATGAAAGAAGGTGGAATTAAACTCTTCCACTGGGAGTAAACTACAAGATTTGAGAATCCAGAAAACTTTGATCTTTTCTCACTAGAAAAGATATCGGGCTCGCATATTACAGGATTTGAGAATCCATAAAACTTTGCTCCTCTCATACGTGGATATATGGATCTCGACGATTCATAAAATGAAGCATGGTGAAGGTGAATAGGTCTCTCCAAGCTCGATTTGGAGGACTTTGGTTTTAATGAGCTCTGTAACAGTATGTATAAAACGACAAGAAAAGCGGTACATCTTTGCAAAGATAAATCGTGAGTGGGCTTAAACCTAATTTGCAAATAATCCTCTCGATCGATATTGGGCATTTTTTTAAGATATGGGGGGGGGGTTGGGCTTATCGGGCTAGGAAGCCCCAAACACTATTTGGCCCAGCCCATTAGTTGATTAGGGTTGAAGTGGGGCGGGGGGAGGATCTCGACGAGCTGGGAGAGTGAAGATGGACGGTGGCGGCGGGCTGGCAGTGACTAAGGGAAAGAGGGGGGGGTCAGTCCTGGAAATAGATTTTCCGGCAGAGGCGCTGCCGGCTGTGACGTGCTGGAGATGACGACAAGATCTCCTGTTGGTGGGAGTCTACCCTCAGTCGCGACGGAGATGAAACCGGAGGATGAGATGGGGGTGAGATGGCGATTATTTTCCGGTGACTATGGTTACACAGCAGCAGCAGGAGAGAAACTGTGTATTGTCGAGCCCGGTCCGGCGGATCTCCGGCGATATCGGCGAAAGAGGTGACGGACCAGTCAAACACCGTCGGTTAGTCGGAGGGCTCACGACTCGTTTGGCTCTACATATCATCTTATGTTTTTTTTTCATACTGTTATATGTTTTTTGGTCAAATTACAATCATCTAATATTTTCGTCTATTGTGAACGATTTTGTATGGGTCCTTCCAAAAAAGGAAAGATTTTCTATCATTTAAATTTTGATGGGTAATATTCACAAATCTCTTTTTTGGTTTTATAATCCTCAGTTATTTTGTTCTACTATTGAGATAACTTAAGAATACATCTTCCATTAAAATATGTTAAAAAAACAAATCAACAATTGTCACGAATGTTAATACTTGTCATATAGGATATAGCCTCTTAATCAGAATGTTGGATTCATAAGGTGTTTGAGAAAATTGTGATTTGTGAAAAATCTTACACATACAGTACACATGATACAATGCAAAATTTGTCGTATCGATGTTTCAACCAATGGAATCATGATTGTAATTTGACCAAAAAACAAATATTCCCAATCTCATCCATTGGTTGGATCACACCGATCTCATTGTTTATCGCCA